AGAATCTTGCTTGCATGTGAAATCAATGACACTGTTCTGTAGTTTCCACACTCAGTTGGGTCACCTTTCTTTGGAATGGGAACAAATATAGATCTCTTCATAGAGATGAGAAAGTTCAGGAGCAGGGAGACTAAGTAAACAGTAGCAAAACAACTCGAACAAGAATACAGACAACATTGACAAAATGCAAAGAATGTTACCAACTGATCACTCTGTCCAGAAACTGTGATGCAGGGAAGTTTCTTACTTTCACCAAAAAGAAAATTAAATAAAGTAAAACATAAATAGGACCTTCAAAATGCAATATTCCTAATTATAATGCTTGTGTTCTTTGATTCCTACAATAATTGTGTCTCTGTTTCCTGTGCACTGCTAAGGACTCTAACTTCATGTCTGGCCTCTATGCATCCAACTTCACCAGATATAGTACAGAATTCCTTTATCTGATGATATGCTTGATGAATGTATCATGTCACATTTTGTTCTTGCTGTTGCTGTTGTTAGGAGCTTCCAATTTGACTATGACTCATAGCAATCTTATGTTCAAGGAATCTGAATCTTGCCTTATCCTGTATCATTCTAATCATCTCTGTCATATTTGAGTCCACTGTTACAGTTACTGTGTCAATCCATCTCATTGAGGGTATTCCTCTCTTTCACTGATCCTCCACCTTTTCAAGTATGATGTCCCTTTCCAAGGACTGGCCCCTGATAACAACATGCCCAAAGTGAATGAGATGATATCACACCATCCTTAACTCCAAGGAGCACCCTGGCTACACTTCTCCAAAATATATTTGTTTGTTTTTTAGGCAGTCCATGTGATATTCAGTATTCTTCTCCAACAGCAAAAGTCAAAGACATCAATTCTTCTCCTGTCATCCTAATTTATTTTCCAGATCTTATGTGCATAGCAAGAGATCAAGATGACCATGGCCTGAATCAAGTACGCCTTAGTCTTCATACTAGCAGCATTGTTCCTCAGTAATTTGAGGAGATCCCTGACAGTCAACTTTCCCAACACAATCTGTCTCCTGAGCTCCTGGCTGCTAGTACCAAGGATGTACCAAACCAACCAAAGGAGGGATATGGTTCTCTTCAGACCTTTTTGACTCCCAATACATGGCATTTAAGGTCTCCTACCCCCCACTTCCCATTAATACCCTTACTTCTGCCAAATTAGCCTGCCTGCACTCTTTTCAGGATCCTTGCTTGGTTTCCTCCACTGGTAACAATCTCCCATCACATTCGTTGGTTTATTTATTTACTTATTTTTAACATATCTGTTAACCAATCATTAAAGCTCATCTTAAAAGCCATTTTTTCCATTAAATAAGCACAGTGAAGTAGAGGTAGGGGTAGGGGCTCATCCCAAGTTGTGAAGTGGGAAGGAGTGGGGAAATTTCAGGGATTGGCTCCTCAAGCAATAGAGATATTGTCTCATTCCATGCAGACTGAACTGGAAAGACTCACATAAGCCTCATCTTCTTGATCCCTCACTGTCACCATTGTGGGGCTGCAGAGACCATCCAGGTAGTTGAGTAGGGAATAAAAAGTATTATATTACCACTCACAAACAGATAACATGAACTGAAGGACATCTTATGCCATCAAAGCCTAATATCAATATATTCCACCAGAAGTTTTTCACAAGGCAGGTAACGGGCTGCAGAAAAGAGCAAAGGAACCCACTCAAAGGGGTCAATTATAAAATCTGAAGGAGGGAAAAAGGTTTCTCTTCTTGTCCAACAAAGAGATCAAACTTTCCACTCAAAAATTCAAGTCTAAACGATTCAAGTCTCAGAGACAGAGTAAACTTAAGTTATAAAAGTGTAGAAATGTGATGATTCTCTGAATGAAAGACAGTATAAACTCATGTAAATGCATTTATTATTTATTATACTCAAATCATCTTAGTCAACAAGAGGGCATTGAATCTAGCCTTTGTCAGTTATTCATGTGGCAACACTCAAAAAATTTAACCTCTCTTAGGTTTAGTGTTCTCATTTAAAACAAGGAAAAATATTGGTCCCATGGCATTCACATAAGGACTAAATAACATATAATTATGTATAAGTGCTTGCCAAAGAGCTTAATATATGTAGTTAATCATTAAATAATCTAACTGTGGTCCTGGTAGTAGAAATGGTGGTAATATTTTTAACAGTGACACTTTTTTTTTCATTCTCATTACAATATGGGAAAATAAACTCAGGAAAAACAAATGTCCCCAACAATGATGAGGTATTTTGCTCATGCCTAGGACCACAGGAAAAGACTTAACACACATTTGATTCTAAAAAAATATCTTGGTGAATAAATGAAAGGAAAAGTCAGAGCCAGAATAATGTGGTGAAAGCTTCACTAAGGTTTAAAGTGGTGCAAGGCTGTAAGTGGGAAGATTATTTGGTCATGTCTGGAACAAGAGAAGGAGTCTGTTCTGTAGGTGAAGGTGACTGCTCTTTAGATTGAATGAACATCCTAGACACAAGGGAGTGAATCATGCATGTCAGCCTCTAGGGTTGAACTGGCCTCCACCATTTTGAAATCCCTCCTTTTCGTCTGATTTCAGAGGGAGCCTAAGTGTTCCCCAGAGGTCTAGGGTAATTGTAATTCATCCTTATTGTTGTAGGTGCCGTTGAACTGGCTCCAATTCGTAGTGGCCCCATACACAGCAGAGTGAACACAGCCTAGTCCTGCATTAGCCTCACAATTGCAACTATGTTTGAGCTTATTATTGTAGCCACCATGTCAATCCATCTTATTGATGGTCTTCCCATTTTTAACTGATCCTCTTCCGTACCAAGCATGATGTCCTTCACAGAAGACTAATTCCTCTTGTGATATGTCCTCAGCCATATCATGGCTTAGCAGCTGACCAGCCTGTTTTATCTGTGCCTAACACTTGGCAGGTCCAAGAGGCAATGGGCTACAGAGGAAGCATTGAGGGACCAGTAAGCAGATCTGTCTATGTGACCTTGGAAGACCCTTCCAATCCAGGACTTCCCTGTTGCCATCTACAACTGATGCAAGACGAGGAAGAAGGAAATTAAGGTCCAAGATCAAGAGTTGCTTCTATAGGCAGTGCTCAGAAGGAGTCAGAAGAAACACAGAGGCTCAGGGAGGAATATCAAGATTGGTTAATAATAGTGGGAGGAATCAGGCCCATTCCAATGAAAGGAAGGATTATGGTTATGGTTGCCTTCAGATCTAAAAGCCACAAATCAATTTTTTTTAGTAGGAGTTACATCCTTTTCTGTGCCAGGTGGGTGCTCATTATGAAGGCTAAAAGGGAAGATAGGAATACATCTCTCCTTTGGTATTGCTGGCCTACTTAAAACTCACAGATGGTCAATCGGTACTGCAGGCAGTTCTTGTCATTCCACAGCCCATCGGTGTACATTTCTACACACCTCTCCCTTCCCTGGCCTCTGGGCTCCCCTGGGTACCAGTTAGTGTAGTTTACAGGATCCCCATCCAGGTAATAGAACTCTCCAGGTGTAGAGCCCTCAGCCAGGCCCAAATAGGCATAAGTGTTGTGCTTCTTAACGATGCTTGTAAGGGCTGCATTCTCCTCTGGGCTCCTTGGGATAGCAATACGACCACCAGCCCTGGCACATGACTCTCTAATATCAACAAAATTGACTGACTTCCCATTGGTGGAGAAGATCTTCTTTCCCACTGTCAGCATGGATCCTTGCAGGCTGAGGACTGAGAGCAAGGGTTTGAGGTTATACCATAGAATTCTTTCTCTATGTCTTCAAAAACCTTTCTGTATTCTTGCTTTCCAATCTTTTCACTCATACCTCTTTGTTTTATCTCACTTTTCTAATCTGAGTCTTTCTAATTTCCTACTATGCTCTCATTCGCAGATAGGTTAATAAGCACTAGTATTAATACATTATTATTTTTAGTATTAATAATAATTAATTGGTATTAATACTTATTAACGAATTCATTCATTAAACAAGTACTTATTGACTATGAACAATATGACCTAGGGTTTAACAGAAAGCAAATCAGGCATATATAAGGAATCATAGCACTCTATCCCTCTAAGCCAGGACATAAGTAAAGAGAAGCACTACTCCTTCCTCAAGACCCAAATGTCCATGGCTGTTTGCCAGATCTCTAGAATCTAGAGATAGGAACTGAGGATAAGACTTGTGGGAGAATTTCCTGTCTTACAAAGCTTTAATGATCCTCCTTACCTCCCATTGATTGCAGAATTTGATATCTCAAGTTATGAAGTGTGCTTTGGAGCACCTCATCAAGATAAGCTGGAAGGCCTGCAGAGAGATCACACACACTAATCAAAGCTAACCATCTGTGGATTGCCAAGTGTATGTCCCAGTTTTGGCCTGACATTCTGCCCTTTAATTGTTCATTTTCACTGCCTGACTTGAGGCCTGGGCTTCAAGTTTAAAACCACAGGACTGTGGTGTTCCTGCATTCTCCAGACACCAAGACTGTAATGCCATTTTGCACCTGTGGAGATCTCACCCTGCTTTTTCCTGGTACAACCATGCAGCTACCTGTCTATTTTAGTAGTAGCTTCCTATTTCTAGGCAGCTTCCTTTCCTATCCTCATCAAGGGCAAATGTAATCCCTCTGTAGTTCTTCTTCTATTTTTTAAAATTTTTTAAAACTGGCTTATTTACAAAGGTATTTTACATTGTGCTTCACACTATTCTTCATTCACATTATATTTCATACAATCATTCTCATGCATTATGTTTTATAAAATTAATCACACTTGAAGCTTGCCCATCATTACCCTGTCTTTTCACCTGGATCCTTCCCATTTCCTGTCCCTCTCACTCTACCTACCAAACTGTGCAACCTTGTAGTTTATTTCTTGATAGACCTTGATTACTACTCAGAGCATCAGCATTCCTCTCTGCTTATTGGTTTCCCCAACAAAAAACGATTGGCTTGATCTCCAAGTCTGTGCAAGTCTACGCTGTTTCTAGGATGATTCCAGAACTTCAGCCTCAAAAAATATTGTCCTTCCCACATCTGCACCTCATGTTTCCTTATAGTAGTTATGATGTACAGAGTAGTTCCCATACTAATCCGTTTCTGCAATTTGTCCATACTCCCCTTATATCTTTGACTCTTCTACCATTCTTGTCCCCTCTTGCTTTTTTTAATCTCCCATTGACCCTTTGGAAGTGATATTTTTGGCTGAAACTCACCGTAGATTTTGAGCAGTCACACAGCTGTCTGGCACTCTACCAATGATGCCACTGTCTGATCACTTAAACCCTGCTCACCTGGGGGGCCTCTTTCTCCAGGCTCTCCTTTGTATCCAGGCTCTCCAGCAACACCAGGAGCTCCAGTCAGTCCATCACGCCCAGGAAGGCCTGGCATTCCTCCAGGGGGCCCCATTGGACCTGTAGGGAGAAGATTGCATAAATGTAAAATGTCCCCTACAATTGGGTTGGGATCAATGAGAACAGACCTCCAATGTAGCTGTGGTGACTTATTTGTTGCTCTTTGGATATTGTGAGGACACATCCTTGAGTGATATTCCAATCTAAGGAATCCAGGAAACTTCCATCATGTCCCTCACTTAGCTGAACTTTGGACACCTATTGAGGTCCCCTCTGAGATCCAAAATCTATTTGAAAGTTCTGAGTGGAGGGACTTCCTGAGGATGAATACTATCTCTCAGTTGAGGGTCATCTATTTGGTTCAGTACCTGGAGGTCCAGGGTCTCCTTTGGCACCATCTCTCCCATCTCTGCCAGGAAATCCATGGGAACCAGGTGTACCAGGGATGCCAGGGGTCCCAACGCAAACTTCATTTACATCACCCATGATATCTGCCACCGCTAACAAGATGAGGGTAAAGACCAGAGAGCACAGCCACATGGTACCTGTTCCACGGCTTGTCCTGCAGAAGGGATCACCATTGGGCCATCTGAAACACTTACCCCTGCTGAGCTCTGTTGAGGTGCAGACACTCAGCGTAACCAGAAGGCCAGAGCAGTTCCAATAGTCTGGTAAGGCCCAGATCACTCACACACACTTTCAGCATCATCTCTGATTTTTTAATGACCTTGCATTCCTTATATACTACTGTTAGAATCTTGCAATGGGAACTTATTTAATCTGACTCAAGCTAAGTTTTCTATGCCCTGGAAATATTTTTACTTGTTCCTCACCCCTCAAGCTGTTGAAAGGAAAAATCTGCTCATTCATTCATGGGTTCATTTTGTCTGTCACTCAAACACAGAGCTGCCTTGTTCTAAAGGAATTAGAACTTGAGGTAAATGGAAGCAACTCAGACCCAGACCTGAGCCTGTTAATTGTGAGAAGTTCCCTTCCTCCTGCTGAGGTTTCTTCTCCTTGGGAAACTATTTCTTCACTTTCCCCATTGCAGGTCCTGATAAACTTCTAGTGGAATTGGGCGTGGTAGAGGAGCATGACAAGGAATATTTGAAGTCCATCTCTTTGCCCCCACAGTTGTGATTTCATGGACAAACTCCCAGTGGGACATGGGAAGTTCCCTTATTCCTACCTGGGTCCAAGACCAACTGCTGGGTGTTTTAGCTGAGTACAAGAGCTGGTGTCATTGCCTCCAACATGATGCTCTGAAGAGAACTCAGGGTGAGGAGAACTCAAGGTGTGGGGATAAACTCACCTACACAGATAAACCTCCAAGCCATATGAACTTCTGCCTCACTCAGGGTCAGAGTGGATGGGTAGGAAACACCATTTATAGTGAAATGAAGCCACCAGTCTCCTTTACTACCCCAAAGAGGCCCCAGTCACAAGTGCCTCTAGTTTGGAAAGGGCCAGGAATGAAGTGTCCTCTAGTTTACACAGTTCATTTCCTCATGGAGTACTTAGGATGAAACAGTACTTAGGATCCTTGAGAGGAGCTCAAGGACATACTACTGAGAATTCTAATTCAGTCACATGAAAATTTTCCATAGGTTGGAGGCCACTCACACCCCCTGAGCCTTGAGTTCAGCTCCCAAACAGTAAATGATCAGGGTCTTTCTTTATACATACACAGATGGAGGCACTTCCCCAAAGGACTGCTTTCCCTCTTGGGCCTCTGTGCCATCCTCCTGGCTGGTGAAATGCCCACAGTCCTAAGATCAAGAACTCCACAAAGCCCACCAGGCTAGAGAATATACCCAGGGTCAGACTTTCTCTAGGAGAAAAGAGTGATACACAAAATTGTTTTAATCTGACTCCTCCTGAGACTTTTCCAACTCCAGAGCCTCTTTAGTTTTAGGAAAAGTTTGTTTGGTTCCTGATTTTCCTCCAGAAAATGTTGAGTCAAAAGTTCAAGCTGAGGAAGATTTGCCTGATATGGAGAATGCTATTCTATCCTGAGACCTGTCTCACCTATAGATTTCACACCCACCAGCCCTTTCTCCGGAAGCCCAGATTTAAGTAGGTAGATGGACATACAGAAAGTTGTGGTTAAATGCTTCACTTTCCTTTCCCCTGCAGAATCAGGACCTACAAAAGAGCAGCAGTTTCTGTCTTTGACCATGGGTGATTTCTAATCCACTGAAAATAAGTGGTTATTTAATAAAATAGTGGAATATTGCTGCTTGTTGTTAAGTGCTATTGAATCAACTACTAGTCATAGTGACCCCATAGCCAATAAATTAAAACCTTGCTCTATCCTGTGCCATTCTTAGAATCTGCACCTTGCTCAAGTCCATTGTTGTAGTTACTGTGCCAATCCATCTAGTTGAGGGTCTATCTCTCTTTCTCTGGTCCTCTACCTTTCCCTGCATGATAGCCTTTTTCAAAGACTAGCCTTTCCTGATAATGTGCCCAAAGTAAGTGAGATGAAGTTTCACTATCTTTGTCTCTGTCTCAGTACCCTACTTGTACTTCCTCTAAGGCAGACTTCTTTTGGCAGTTCATGGGATATTCAAGACTCCTCTTCATTACCACAGTTTAAAGTCATCAATTCTTCTTTGGTCTTCCTAATTAATTATCCAGTTTTCAGATGCATAGGAAGCAATTGAAAATGTCATGGATTGAATCAGGCATACCTTAGACTTTAACATCGTTTCTCTTTAGCACTTTGTAGAGGTCATTGACAACAGATTTTCCTAGAATGTCTTTAAATTTTAATGCTATTACTATGGGTAATTATAGTGGATTCAAGTAAAATAATATATATTTTTCCCAGTCAAGCATTTGGTTTAGGAGGAAATCTCCAACTGTAGGAGCTGTAACCATAGAGGATTAAATTACAAAACATTTCCATGTTTACTTGTAAGTAGGTGGAAAATTCCTTGACATTTTTTGAGGGTAGGAGCTCAACTTAGGAGACTCCACTCATAGGAGCAAGAAATCATGCAGTTCCTATTTTGAGATGACTATGCTGCAATGACAAAGGCGCACAGTTTGAATCCATCAGCTGCTTCTTGGGAGAAGGATGGGCAATCTCCTCCTATGCAATTTACTGCCTCTGAAAACCCACAAGATGGTCAGCTCTGACTCTAGAGCACACAACAGCATTTGTAGGGTAGGAAAAAACTCTATCAGAGAGTTGTTGTTGTTGTTCTTGTATGCTATTGTATGTTGTTGTTGTATGCCGTTGAGTCATTTATGTACAACAGCCCTAAACTCTGCTCTATCTTGTGCCAATCACACTGCCTCCAACACACCCATCCTGATTACCCCAGTCAGGATTGGTGGAAGATCTATCAACAGATTGTTATGCAGATGACACAACCCTGCTTGCTGAAACTGAGGAGGACCTGAAGCGCTTGCTGCAGAGGGTCAAGGACTGAAACCTTCAATATGGATTGAGGCTCAATATCAAGAAGACAAAGATTCTCACCACTGGACCAACTGGCAGCATCAGAATGGATGGTGAAGAGATTGAGATTGTTCACAACTTTAGTTTGCTTGGCTCCACTGGCCCGATTGTTGGACCATCCCAAGCATGATGTCCGTCTCCAAGGATTGATCCCGCCTTGCAACATGTCCAAGGTATGTCAGATGAAGCTTCAGAATCCTTGTATTCAGGAAGCAGCCTGGCTTCATGCTCTCCAGTATCAACCTGTTTGTTCTCCTAGCAACCGATGGTATATTCAATAAATACTCTTATTCAGCACCACAGCTCAAAGGCATAAATTCTCCTTATATCATCCCTCGTCATTGCCCAGCTCTCTGATGTATAGTAAGTAATTGCAAAGACCACATCCTGTATCAGGTGCACCGTAGTCTCCAAACTGACATTGTTGCTCTTCAGTACTTTAGAGAGGTCTCTGACAGCAGATTTTCTCAGTGCAATTTGTCTTTTTTCCTTGACCTTCTGCAGCAAGCGCTTTAGGTCCTCCTCACTTTCAGCAAGCAGGGTTGTGTCATCTGCATATGATTCTACCTCCAATCCTGATGACACACTTCTCCTCATAGAACCCAGCCTCCCAGATAATCTGTTCTGCATATAGATTGAAAAGATATGGAGATAGGACACATTCTTGATGCACACCATTCCAAATGTTGAACTATGGGAAGCCAAACTCTAAACCAAACATTATATGAAAACCCTTGTTCAGGAATTGAAGGAATTGCAGATTTATAAGTTAGGATTTCTCTTGTGGCAGATCCCAGAAAATGAGCTGTTTGTTTCCTGCAGACAGGAAACAACAAGGGGCCCCCTACAAAGAGAGTGTTACTTCCTGAGCTAGAGTTCACCCTGAGGCATCAAGGTCAATAGTTAAGGGTAAACCAAATTCTTGCATTTGTGAACCCCTCCTTCCTGAGTCAAGCAGAAGGTTTTCAATAGAAAGATATTGGCTTCATTTTCATTGACTTCTCTTTGTGATTTACTTCCTGATAATTTTCAATAAAGATACAGAGAAGCTTGGCTTGGGGTCTTCAGTTGAGAACTGCTGGCCCCCTGTTTTATGCTCTCTGCTCTATCACATTCCTGGCTGTTTGTCTCATTATTAATAATTATAAAATTATTCCATTCTTTGGGACCCTCGGTCTGCAACATTGACCCATGCAGTGTTTTCTTGATCTATTCTGATGACTGCCTCCTGGCCCAAGGATAGATTTCACATAAGCACCATCAAGTGTTCTGGGATTTCCATTCTTCTCAGGGTCAGCCACAGTTTCTTGTGACCCACACAGTCAAACGTCTTTGCATAGTCAATGAAACACAGACAGCCATTCCTCTGGTACTCTCTGCTTTCAGCTAATATTCACCTAACATTAGATATAATATCCTTAGTGTCATGGCCTCTACTAAATCAAGCCTGAACTTTAGGTAGTTCTCTATTGATGTGCTGTTCCAGTCATCTTTGGATAATCTTTTGGATAATCTTGCTCGCATGTGATATTAATGATGCTGTTCCATAATTTCCACACTGTCAGATCACCTTTCTTTGTAATGGGAACAAATATAGATCTCTTTCAGTCAGTTGACCAGGTGATTATCCTCCAGATTTCTTGGCACAACTTGGTGAGCACATGCAGGGCGGCATCTGTTTGTTGAAATATGTCAATCAGTATGAGATTGTTTTTTGCCTTATTTTTTTGCCAATTCTTTCAGAGCAGTTTGCAATTCTTCCTTCATCACCACAGGTTCTTGCTCATACATTGTTTCATGAAATTCTTCTGTGTCCACCAATTCCTTTTGGTACAATAACTCTGTATACTCTTTCCATCATCTTTTAATGCTTCCTAGATCATTTAATATTCTGCCCAAAGCATCCTTATGTGCTGCAACTCTCGAGGTTTGAATTTGTTCTTCAGTTCTTTCAGCTTAAGAAATGCTGAGCAAGTTCAGCCCTTTTGATTTTCTGACTTCAGTTCCTTCCACATTTCATTGTAATACTTTACTTTGTCTTCCTGCCCTGCCTTCTGGAATCTTCTGTTTA